TTCATTCTCGCCTCACACACCAATCAGATCACTCTTGACTTTACTGAAAATCTCAGCGAAGTAAGTACTCTAGTGTTCGGCATTGTGGTTCTCAGTTCGATTGTTTTGTTTCGTTGTGTTCATAGTCACGACTTCTTCAAAAACTGATTTCTTCAAGCAAACCACATAAGGTATTAATCCCGTCCAGCTGGACTGTTTATGTTTGTGATAGCGTTTTCGCAGCTTACTATTGATCAGAACCGTTACCTAGATGACCACAAGTACATGACTTTCGAACATAGCATGACAACAATCTGTTCAGCTAACGTCATGAAGAGCGTTCCTTTTTCTAATCTCTATGTTTTCAGAAACTGGCCAAGATACTTCAATCAACGCTGCTGAAATTGAAAGGAATCGTTAGCATATATTTCACTGACAACCACAGAAAGTGCATCATAAGGATGCGACCCGAGGTCACGTTAGAGGTAAAATCACGTTTCGATTAATAATCCGCTGCGTTTTCAGGACACCAGTGGGGGGGGAGCTGTTTGCTCCGTACAGCAAATAACTGTTAGTTAGCATTTTGTTGTTTTGCCCTTGTTGAGCAAGTGCATCGTCGTAAACCGTTACTCTTTTCTCTGAGAACAACTCCCACCAACAATTCCAGTGTAGAGCATGGAAGGTGTTGCATTTCATTCCTGCAAAATGTCTGCAGATGTACGAAAACAGCAGTCGTCGCTTCACCTCATCATTTTTCCAGTTTGCTATCTGACTAGGCCGAAGGCTTTAATGATGTCATTTTCAGGCGATTCGTTGCATAGTAAATGGTTGCAAATTACCTGATTTGGAATGGGTGTACAAAGACGCAAATGGGATGCAAGTACTTGGACTGCCACGATCGAAATTAGTTAGAGTTTAACGTAACTTGTCTACAGGTTCGCTTTTCGTCTTTAAGCGATCTGCGCTACGACTGCAGTTCTGATTCCTGTGACAACTTGCCAGGGTTTCATGATGACAACCCGTTGGACTCGAATACAGCCCTTGTTTCGGCACGGCAACAAAAAGTTACCTCCGGTGGTGGCTGGCACTGGTGGGACAGTGTCGCTTCGTTCATCAGCGATAACGTATTGTGGTAAACGGTAGCATTACGCATTACATGTTACGTTGCTTTTGCTTGTGGTCAGAAATTTGTCATGTACATGTGCTTTCATGGAGTGTATATGCTTTTATAAGGGGTTTCGATTTCTTTGCCTCACTACGTACTTGTATATTCTTTACCAGTACGCTAAATGACAGTAAACTATTTAACGTGTTACAGAGAAAAAGAACTTTTGCATGTACACTTGCTTTGTAGCCGATTCTCCACCATCACTGCAGTTTAGGGATCGCTGCATTTGAATAACGATTCAGCCGTCTTTCTGGCACTGCACTCTTTATCAGCACATGAGTGAGTCTCACCTGCCGAGAAACTATAAAATGCACTATTTTTCATTTGGGAGTAGTCATGTTATAGGCGAGCGATAGGGACATCTGAATTATAGAAAATCGAAAACATAGCTGATAGAACATGCAGAAAATAGGAGTACCGCACATTTTAATTTTACTTATTAGACTGGTCTTGATTATTTTTGGCCCATCTTCAAAGCAAAACAAGCCTTGAACAGTCAACAATCCGGCTGTTCTTAAGTAGCCTTTTAACAAGTAGTTCATCAAGCCTGCAGTTACTGATTTGGTGCCAGTACATTTTTAAATAGGTCTAGCTTGTACTTCAAAGCCATATAGGACTCTCCAGCGCTACTCATGTGGAATGCTTTCTTGCTGTGAATTTTTAGTTGAAACGTTGTAGCTAATTTTAAGTATATCTTATGAACGGCTGGCGCCAAGACGGCAACAGGAAAAATACGAATGGTCAATTTGCACAGTTGAGAAAAAATGAAATGCAATAACAAAAGTAACAATAGCCGTAGCAATAAATCGTGTTCTTCTGATCACTTCGTGCTTGTAATGAAATCTCTTGATTTATGACCGATACTTTGCGGTCAAGAAAAGGGCAGACATAAAACAAGAAATTTAATACAGAAGCATAAACAACAAAGAACAACTAAAAAGTGCAAACATAGTTCAATTTTCATGAACAGTTACACGTCTGTTTAAGGCCGCTTACACTGATGGAAACTGTAACAGCTGGCGTGAAATTGTTCTTGCAGGTGGACGTCCAGTTCTCACAGTTCTAAGTATTCTATCTATACGGCACACTGCAGCTTCAGTTATAGACAACCGCTTAATCAGCTCGCCCAGCTCGGTACCTGCTGACTGTTATCGGCCGTGACCGTGCATATCAGATAGTTGATGCAGGGCATCACTTTACTCGCAGGGCGACGAATTCGAAAGTGGTCAAAACTCTTAAGAATGCGGCGAAGGACGGGTGACGGTAGAAAAACAAAATCTTTAACAATATATAAGGATGACGAAGACGAGCCAAGAAATATTAAACAGATTAAGAGAAAAGAAAATGTTAGGAAACCTCCATCGCAAGAAACCCTGGCCTCTGTGTTCGGTCGAAACAACTGAAGCAAAAAAGAAAATGAAAAATCGGTCGAGTAATGACTGTACCTAGTAGTACAGCAGCTGCTGCGCAGGAAACTCCACATTTGCTTTCTGCTATCACGTCCTTTAGTTCTTCATCTTCCATCGCCGCTTCTCCTTTCGGGTCGCGGAAGCAGACGCGTCAGACAGTGCTTCCAACG